CCAGACTTGACAGCAACGCACCGAGCCCAATGCAGACAAAGCCTTCAATACATTCGGATCGATTTCCTTGCCCGCCAAACACCATTTTCAGATCCCGCAGTCATTCCATGTTTAGTCAACAGAGGGCGCTTTAGGCTTTCCATAGCAAAGCCAGATCATGAGGTCATTTCCACACTGTGTAACAAAACAGTGGCTTTGCTGTGAAAACGAACCAACGTTAGATCTTTAGTTCTCACCCTGCAAAGGATGAGCCCCGTTTATTTTTCTAACAAGATAGGCATGGTAGTGAGCTCCTGAGACCTAGCACTTGGGAGGCAGAGGTTAGAGGACGAAGGGATCAAAGGCATCCTTGGCTACAAAGAGAGCTGGAAGCCTGGGGGGGCTACCTGATACTACCTCAGACAACCAAAAATAAACAAAAATGAAACTTAAGCCTAATCTCCTAATCAATATCTCTCTCTCTCTCTCTCTCTCTCTCTCTCTCTCTCTCTCTCTCTCTCTCTCTCTCTTTCTCCTGACACACACACACACACACACACACACACACACACACACACACACACTGCTCAAATCACAAACTACTTTGCTATGATTTAAACCTTATGGAGAAAAAGAATCATTAAATCATTTAGACCTTGAGGAGAAAAAGAAATAAAAACAAGTCCTAAAGGAATAAAATTTACCTCTTTTGCCCAGTTCCACATAAGGCAGTGTTCTCTATGCAAAGACACAAAGTCTTAGAAGGCTAAGAACAACGTGAACAACGACAATGTAGCAGGAGAAGCAACTCAACCCCTAGAACAGCCCAGACAGGCTGGAATTCTGAGTTCTTTAGAAATACAGATTTTTGAAGCTAGACTTGGTGACACGTTTGTAATCCCAACATTCAGGAAACTGAGGCAAGAGGATTTTAAGTTTGAGATTAGCCTGGGCTACATAGGTAAGTTCTAGACCAGCCTGGGCTACACAGTGAATCCTGTTTCAAAAAACAAACATTAAGAATGTTCGCTGCTCTTCCAGAGGACCTGGGTTCAATTCCAAGTACTTACATGGTGGCTCACAACTGTCTGGAACTTCAGTCCAAGTGGATCCAACACCCTCTTCTGGCCATTATGGGTACCAGGCATACAAGTGTTGCATAGACATACATAACATGCAGGCAATAATTAAAATTTAAAAATAAATACATGAAACCAGGTGGTCGTGGTGCACACTTTTAGTGCCAGCACTCAGGAGGCAGAGGCAGGTGGGTCTCTGTGAGTTCAGGGCCAGCCTGGTCTACAGAGAGAGTGCCAGGACAGCCAAGATTACACAGAGAAACCCTGTCTCGAAAAACCAAAAAAAAAAAAAAAAAGACCAAAGCGACAACGAAAACTTAAACAAGCAAAAAGGAATGTCTTGCCTAGCCCATCACCTACCAACCAGTTTTTGGTAGCTAACATTATCTTTGTGACCGCTTGAACTAAGAGTTTACATGTGTTTTTCTTGATTTCCAGCACTATCTTAAAGTCCTAAGGACAGTAATCTACCTCAAGTTCTTAGCACACAATCCCGTCTGTGAAATGACAAAGTCTGGGGTGGCATTTAAAACGTTCCCCTAAGTACTAACGATGAGTAAAGACAAACGTCTCATGTAAAGATGGTCATTGGAAGGTAATAAGTGGTAATTAAGACCCAGGCTCTGGGGCCAGGCTGCCTGCACTTGGGCTCCACCCCCAACATTTGCTCAATGGGCAACGTTGGGCAAGATACTTTATTTCCCTGAACTCGTTCATTATCTTGACAAATGTAGGTCTCAGCACGGCACCCACTATCTATCATTCAGGCTCCAGCTCTAGGCAAAGTGGTTTGCACTGGGCCTTGACCTTAAAGGAGCTCTGGGTAACTCTCTTCAGAATGCCTGGTTAAGGGATTACTGTATCCTCCCTCCCCCCCCCCCACACACACACACTGCTTCCTTACTTTTTATTTTTAAAAACAAATTTTAGATTTTATGTGTGTGAGTGTTTTGCCTGTGTATTTGTACATCCGTGTGCTGTGCTGGAAGAGGCCAGAAAAGGGTGACAGCTGGGAGCCACCTCATAGGTCCTGGGAACTGAACTTGGGTTCTGTGCAAGAGCAAGAACAGCAAGTATTCTTAACCACTGAGCCATTTCTCTGGTCCTTTTTTATTTTGAGAAAGGTCTCATGTAGCCCAGGCTGGCCCTGAATTCCCAATACTCCCAAGTGATGGAATTACAGGCATGTATTACCATGCCCACTTACTGTTCTTCACTTCATAGGCCAGGTTTGCCTGACCTCTATATTTATCTCGGGTTAGTCCCATAAATTATAATCCTCCTGCCTCAGCTTCCCAGTTTCCTCATGCTTGGCTCTATCCAGCTATCTGTTCTTCAACTTTACTCTGGTCACTTTTCAGTTATTCTATAGGGCTTCATTTGATTCTGTGAAACCCTAACTTCTCACAAATATAGACATGGTTATAAAATGATTAAGGACACTTGGTAGGATAAGGCAGAAAAATGGCCACAAGTCTGAAGGCTGCCTAGGATATATAGTGAAGTCCAGGTCAGCCTGGGCTATACAGAGTAAGAAAGATCCTGTCTGAAAAATAAATAAGTAGATGAATAAAATAAAATGCTGAGAGGAATCTCTTATGTTATATAGAAAGGTCTTTCTTCATAGAGCTCAAGAAATATATGCTTAGACCAGGGCAAGGCATAGTGGCTCACACCTATAATCCTGACAGAAAGGTTGCTACAATTTTTGGGCCAGCCTGGACTACATAGTTAGACTGGCCTGGCCTACAGAATGAGATCCTGTCTCCAAAAAAAAAAGAAAGACAAGAAAAGAGAGCCATGAGATTGTGGCCCACACCTTTAATCCCAGCACTCAGGAGGCAGAGTCAGGCAAATCTCTGAGTCTGAGGTTAGCCTGATCTACAGACTGAGTGCCAGGGCAGCCAGAGCTACACAGAAAAACCCTGTCCGGGGTGGGGGGCAGGGCGGGGGGAGTGGAGAGGAAGGAAAAAGAAAAAGGAAAAAGAAATATACTTAGGCCAGAAAAAAAAGATGTTACGAAAAAGGGGTGCAGTGGGGTACAGAGGCCACATCATAGATTTTTGGTCAGCTGTGAGTGGGAACTATACTTCAGGAACCTAATGGAAGTATTAATATGTCATCAGGGGTGTGGAAGGTCTCGGACATGGGTTTAAGAGGAACATCGAGAAGGATGGTTGAGGTTAAGGAGTTTACCAGAAGAGTTATTAACGCTGTAGACAGACAGACAAAACATGTCACAGCTCTCAAGAAAATTGGCCCCAGCCACCGCAAGACAGACAGACAGCATGATGAGCTAGCTGAAGGGAGACATCAGGGCCTACATGGCAGAAGCAGGGGTCTCTCCCACTTTTCTGAGGATGGCAACACAATCCTGCAGCCAGGCTCTCCCATTCCCAGGCAGGAGGCAGAAAGTAGGAAGTAGGATGGCCACCAAGACCCCCTTTAGTGTTAGCTAACAGGTCAGAAATCTGGTCACATGGAAAACCTGTTAGCCAGGAACTCAACAGATGTCTCAGTAAGAGGAGCCTGTTGGGATGGAAGGGGAAGAGTGCTGGAGTACTGTGGTCTGAGCAGCAACGGGATTCTAACATTATCTTCTTCCAGGGTGCACCTTTGAAGGTTATACCCATGCCTGGCTCTGGCCACTATGCTTCCTGGTCAACCATACTCAACATCCACTCTCCATGTCTTCCCTCCATGATGGACTGTAAGCCAAAAAAAAAAAAAAAAACAACAACAACCCTTTCTTCCTGCGAAGTTGGTCACAGCAATGCAAAAGTAACCACCACAGGTGACTAGTTTTAGTACAAGAGCTAGGAGAATCTTCCTGAGGACATAGGACATGCAGAGACCTCAGGATAAGGAGGCGGCTACCAGGCCAGGAGCCGAGGGGAGACATCCCAGGAGAGCACCAACACTTACGGAGTCTATGGTGGGATGGAGCAGAGGGCTGGGCTAGATCACAGCAGAGTGTGTGCTCTGTCAGAGTTTTAAGTGGAAAGGATCGGGACATGTGTGGGACTGGAGATACTGCTTCAATGATCCGCTGTAATGATGTCATGGTGACAGATGGTGAATTCTTTGATTAGGGTTGGGACAGAGGAGCTGGAGGCAAGGGGATAGATTCAATAAATACTTGAAGGTAGGATCAAAGGTCTTGTACTCTTGTGCATACATGGGTGGAAAGAGAAGCGGGTGAGAACAAGGATGACCTTTAAGTTTCTGGCTGAGTGACTGGGCAGAAAGTGCGGTCGTTGGTGACGCAGATATGACTGAAGCGGGAGCAGGTGTGAAGATGGAATAATACGTAAACCATCTTGTTCTGGGCCTGGCACGTGAAACATAATCAATAAAAGTGATTATTATTATTCTGTGTTCCACAATAATGGCTTCTTGGAAACAGTAAGTCCTTTGACGTTAAACATAGCATGCCAGCATCCAACAGAACAGGATTCATAGAAGAATGGCAATGGGTCTTGGAAATAAGTTATAGAAAAGTTCACTAGGAAAGTGGTGCACTCTTTAATGCCAGCACTCTGGAGGCAGAGGCAGGCAGTGGTACAAGGCTCGATAACGCCAGAGCTGGTGAAGGGAAGACAGGCAGGTCCCCAGGGCTTGCTGACTGGCTAGTCTAGCAGCCTAGCCAAAACTACAAGTTCCAGGTTCACTGGGAAACCAACCTTGTCTCAAAAGATACGGTGAAGGGGGAGGAGGACACCTGGTATCAACCTCTGGCCACACACACATGCATGACTAAGTATGTGTACATACCCCCCACACCCCCAAATATATATGTACACACACAAAGGGGGGGAAGGGAGGGAGGGAGAGGGTTCAGAGAGGGAACCTATAGCACAGCCCGCAGGCACCTGGTTCAGCGCCATCTGAGGAGGTTTGTGCCTCTGAATGACAGTACTGAGAACATAACCACTCGAATGCTTCACATTTAAGCTTTTATTTTGAAAAATAAAATACAAAAGTCATTAAGTTGTAAATGTATACAGTAATTCCCAACGTCTCTGAAACAATACAATGAATTATTTAAATAATTAAGGTATTTACTATTATCCACATCAATACATTTAAACAGGTACGAGTCTTCTACAAAATACCAGAACGTGTACAGATAACCTATTCCGAACAAGAGTGCCAGTTTTGTTAACAGAATGCCATCTTTAAACCCTTCTTCTCTTGAAATGAAAGACTGGAATCTGGTAAGAAAAGACAAGACCAAGAGGAGCTGTAACAGAACTCTGTGCCTGTTGGGCTCCTTATCTTGAGGGTTGTGCATGTCACTGGGCTCAAGAGCCATTACTCAGGGAGCCTGGCTGTGTGACACCCACTCAGGGACAGGAGGCTGGCAGGTGAACAGGACATCCCACTTCTCCCAGCAGAAGACAGCGGTTCCAGAGATTTCTCTTCTGTAGAAAAGGCAGCAGTCGTCCCTAGGGCAAACATAGCATGTGGTCACGGGCACAGATCAAAGCAGCCCTGCCTGCACCGGCTCCGAACCTGCTTCCTTGTTTGCACTAGTGGGTGGGTGGGTTCCAGCAGTTCGGGGGCAGGAGGATGGACAACCATGAACACAATGCCTCTGAGGGACGGCATGAGGGGCACACCTTCCCATCTATGATGTTTCCAGTACCTGCCAATAACTTCAAGGTACAAAGCAAAGGAGCACAGGGGCTGCCACAGACCCTTTCTAATGATGGCAACGGTCGCCTGCACCTGAAGCTACCACTAATGTCCAATGCCCAAAGCCACCATACTGACTTTTCATTATGTGACATGACCTTGACAGACGAGGGGACTCTCTGGGATCACTCTTCTTGTCAGCACACAGGTGACTGGGCCTCTCAGTCTCTCAGTCCCTCATACCGTTAAAGCCCCCTTCCCAACACCATCTCCACACTTACTCTACGCCAGACTCTGAGGAAGTCACATCAGTTAGATCTGACCATGGAGCTCTGCTTAGCTACTCATCATTTTAGATAAGGAAACAGACACAGAATTAAGCTACTCAGTGCCAGGAAGTGGCAGAGCTAATGCCGACCCAGGCTGCCTGAGGCCAGGGCTGTGCTCTTTATCCAGACACACAGCTGTCTCTGCCAGTCCAAGTGGAGAATCCCACCCAGCAGCACCCGGAGGCCTCACCTCACTGTGGGAAGTTCCAGATCAGCTACTCCACTTGCTCAGTCTGTGGAAGGAACCCATAGATATGTTAAAATCCTTGCAGTCAGGCAAGGTGATCAGTAGAGGTGATGACTGCTCTCACCAACACACCATGTATGGCCCAAAGGACTGTGACGGATAACATTACATTTAAGGTCTAAACTTACTATGCTTGAGACCAAAAAGAAAAAAAAAAAAGCCTCTAGCATGTAAGCCCCTGACTTGTATAGGCTGTACTCTAGCAGCCCACTTCCCTTTTTCCCAAGACATTGAAGACTGTTCTTAAAATTAACTGATCTTGTCAAATCTGCTGTTCTAGTAAGACAGTAGGCCTTAAGACTGACTGCTATTTCTGCTTTTGTGACCAAGCTTGCTTACTCTGCTCACAAAGATGACCAGACAACTGTAGGACACATGTGCTAAAGTAAGATCCTGCCTACACAGACAGAATACACGTAATCTTATGGCTTTGCCCCTACCAGCCCTGGGCTGATGTGGCTAGGGGCTGCATCTTGGGAGCGCTCTCAGGTGGACAGTCCTGGCCCCATGTTGGGGGCCAGCACCTAGATAAAAAGCCTCTTCTTATTATTAAAATATATTCATGGTCATGGCGAATGACCCTCTGAGCGACCCCAGACCCATAACAGGTTTGCTCAGATTTTTAGATAAATTCAGCCTGTAATTTTCTAAAGAAAGAAACTGGACGGGCCTTTCCCACACTCCAGGGAGACTAAATCCTTGGCATCTCCTGAGTAACAGGGATGCCTTTGTTCCTCACAAGTCCCATGAGTCACATCTAAGTCTATGTTAAGACATAAGATGACAGGGTGGGCTAATTATCAGAAAGATCAACCCTGTGGCCGGATGTTTGAAATGTCGAGTCAGCCTGGCCTCAAGTCAAATGCTGGGAGCTACAGTCTAGGAGCCTGTGGTTACTGCACACTTGACCAAGCAGAAAGAGTGTGGGCTCTGACTCCACAGGGACAAGACACATGGTTGTCTCCAGGGCCCTCCCAGACCCAGCCTGTGTACCTCTTCCTTAGTTCTGACTGACCTTGAACTCAACTATGTGGAACAGGCTGGCTGAACTTGCAGCAATCCTCCTGCCTCTGCCTCCCAATTCTTGGGTTAAAAGCATGTGCTGCCATACCTACCCAGTTTCTATTTCTTTTTTCTTTCTTGTGACAGAGTTTCATGTAATCCTAGAGGGCCTTGAACACTGTGTAGCTGAAGATGACCTGGATCTTGATTCCTCTGCCTCCAATTCACAAGGACTGAGACTAAAATCATGTGCCCACACTCGGACCATTTCTTACTTAATCATAATCTTTCTTTTAAATTTTTATTTGTTTAATATGTATGGGTATCTTGCCTACATGTATGTCTACACACCATGTGCATGCCTGGTACCTGAAGAGGGCATCAGATTCCTTGGACAAGTAGTTGGAAGCCACCATGTGGGTGGATGGGAATTGAACCTGGGTCCTCTGGAAGAACAGCCATTATTCTTAACCACTGATCCATTGCTATAGCATGCTTTTTCAAAATTTCTATTTTTCAACGTATGTGTATGTGCACGTCTGTCTGTTCTGTCTGTCTGTCTGTGTAAGAGTACATACATGTGAGTGTGATGCCCCAAGAGGCCAGAAGAGACTGTCAGATCCTCTGGAGCAGAAGTTCTAGCCAGTTGTAAGTCAGCTGACATGGGTGCTGGCAATGGAACAAAGGGCCTCTGCAAGAGCAGCCAGTGATCTTAATCACTGAGTCAGTTAGCCCTGAACCACAGTCTTTCATTTCTTAAATGGGTCTGTATGAAAGATTAAATAAAGTCACCATAGTGAGTAACATGAAATGCTTATCAAAGCATTGAAAAACTTTTTCTTATTGTCTTAAAAGACTTCTCTATATTCTATAAATCAGTATTGTGTTTCAAAAATAGTGTCCTACTGAGAGCTTATCTTCTACCATTTATTTATTGTTCTTATAGATTTTATTCTTGGAGTTGGGTATTTGTGGAGCATGCCTTTAATCCCAGCACTTGGGAGGCAGAGGCAGTCATATCTCTGTGAGTTCGAGGCCAGCCTGGTCTACAGAGTGAGTTCCAAGACAGCTAACATTATATAATAGAAAGACCTTGTCTCAAAAACAAAAACAAATGTTATTATTGGGCTGGAAAGGAGTCTCAGTGGTTAAGAACATTTGTTGCTCTTCCAGAGAACTCAGGTTTGATTCACAGCACCCACATGGTAGCTCACAACCGTCTCTTAACCCTAGTTCCAGGGGATTTGACACCCTCTTCTGGCCTCCTCGGGCACCAGGAATGCATGTGGTACACAGATATGAATGCAGGCAAAACATGCATACCCTTAAGAATAATAATTTAAAGTTTATTATTAGTACTACTATTTTGAGACAAGGCCTCACTATGTAGCACTGGTTGGCCTAGAGCTCACTATATAGACCAGGCTGGCCTTGAACTCATAGAAATCCACCTGCCTCTGTCTCCCAAGTGCTGAGGTTTCAAGGCTGTATTACCATACCCAACTCTGGCATTCATTTTAAAAATTGCTTGTTTACTTCTTTATTTTTGTGTAGATGGATGTTGGTGTGAATGCTGTGGGGGAATGTGTGTACCACAGCACCTATGTGGAAGAGACTCAGTTCATCCCTTCCCCCTTTATGTGGGCTCCAGGAATCAACCTCAGGTTGTCAGGCTTGGTGACAATGCCTTTACCCACTGAGCCATCTCAGCAACTCTAGCATTATTCATTGTTTGTGTTTGTTTAAGATAGGGTCTGGCTCTGTAGCCCAGGCTAGCCTTGAACTTATTATCCTCCTGCTTCCATCTTCCCTGTGTTTGGAAAACAGGCATGTGACACTATATCCAGCTATGATAAGTTTTAATAAATAAATATTCTCAACTCTAGTGTGTAATTTATCAGTCTCCTCCCAAGCCCCCAGACCGGGTTTCTCGAGTTATCCCTGTAGCTCTGGCTGTCCTGGAACTCACTCTGTAGTTCAGGCTGGCTTCAAACTCAGAGATCTACCTGCCTCTGTCTCCCGAGTGCTGGGCTTAAAGATGTCTGCCACCACTGCCCTGCAATTTATCATTCTTTAAATTCATGATCATGTCTTTATGACTAAAGACATCTTTCCTTCTAAAGGACGGAACATTCTCTTGTATGTTCTACCCACTTCCTTCTCCATCTGGAGATGACGTGGGTTACGTGCTACAGCACAGGAATGCCTTCAGTTTTGGTCTTAAATCCCCTTTCTTGGTTTCTCCAAGTTTATCCCGCCTCTTGGGTTGCTTTCTGGCTCTAATTTCCAAGGTTGTGAGTAATAGTTCATTCAGGAATTCACCCAGGGCTCTGGGATGTCAAGCACACTTTGGGCCCGGCCTTTCTCTCCCCTCTAGAGAAGTAAGCATCAGGTATTTGAGGAAGATCAAGAATTCCTTGAGAAGACCTTCCCTTTGTCTCCAACTCCTGAGGACGTATCCTAATTTCTCACTCATTACAGACCCCTAGCAAACAACTGTTGAATACATGAAAAGAATGGGAGAGGGTTAAATCTCTACTGCTAAGAGTATGCCTTGGATATACTCTGAAACGCTCTGGTGTCACGCATCATTGCGGAGGGCTGGGAACTGAGAGTGGTCAGGTCGGCCCCAGCCTTCATGCCTGGTGGGAGAGACCGTAGCACTGTGCTCCAAAGGACAGCCTGCTTACGCCAGGCTTGCTGCCCGAGACACAGCTCACACAGACACAGAAGGTGCACTTCCCCTGCGACCATAACTGAAACATCGTTAGAAACTGTATGGACAGCAGCTCCCTAGACACAGTATGCCTCAGCCCCATGCCGAACATCACGGCTAATGCAGACAGGCAGTGACGTCACTCTTCCAGCTGTTACACAGGTGACAGGGGATGACAGGACACTCTGTGTGCTACTTCAGGCACATCCACAACATTCTCTGTTTTTCTTCAACTCAGGACACAATAATGGAATGCAAGTGAACTGAAACATTAACAGTTGTAATTATAGACTGGCTTCCTTTTTTGGGGGGGACAGGGTCTTCGTATGTAGACCTGGCTGTTCTGGAACTTACTATGTAGACCAGGCTGGCCCTGAACACACAGAGATTTGCCTGCTTCTGCCTCCCAAATGGGACTAAAGGCATGTACCACCATGCCGTCCTAGTTCAAGGTTGGTTTCTTGGTTTCTTTGTTGGAGTCAGGGACTCTCTGACTAGCCCTAGCTGTCTTGGAACTCACTATGTAGACCAGGATGGCCTCAAACTCACAGAGATCCACCTGCTTCTGCCCCAAGTGGGATAAAAGGCATGTATCCCATGCCCAGTGGTTTCAATTATTTTTAGAAGCATAAGGATTACAAGCTTTGAACTCTCACCATTTGCTGACAGCCAATTGCTGTGTGCATTGTGTATTACAGGTCTTTTGGTTTCCAATGTGAGAACAATTAAAACACCACAGATGTGAACATAATAAAAACACCAAAGGTGGCTGCATATTCTTAATGCAAAGTAGATGCTCCAGAGGCTGGGTAGCCGCTCAGACATTCTCCTTATTTACCTGTGAAATACTGTGTGGCTGTGTATGCAATCAGATCTGTTATCAACAAAGCACTTCCCTAGCTGTGGAAGACCCTGAACTCTCTCAAATCAGGACCGTTAGCTACCACCAGCACAGGTCACCGTCTTTCTCTATTTCCCTTACTTGTTTGTCTGTATGTTGAGAAGGGAGCTGGCCTGGAACACCGTCTGTAGCCCAGACTGGCCTTGGATCTATAGCGATCCTCTCATCTCAGCTGACCCCTGGCATTAGAGGTATAAACCAGCACACCTGGCTTTTGTTTTCTTGTTTAAATTTCATTGTCTTTCCAAAAGCTTACTTTATGGAAGAGCCAGCTCTGACCTAAGAGAGGAGGAAGGAGAAGTGGTGTACAGTACCTGGGGTTTTTCTTTCAGAAAGTCAGGGAGCTGAAATTCTCCTTTATAGACCTGGAAAGAACAGAGCAGGAGTGAGTTTAAGGGAATAGGAGCCTCCTGGTGCACATCTGCAGCCACTGGGCTGCTGCTTCACTTCTGGGGCATTTGGAATGGGAGAGAAACCTGTCAGTCCAGGGGCCATGAGAGAATCAGAACTTAGGGAGACCCCCCCAACCCCCTGCAGTCTACCCCCATGCTCCTGAGCTGGCTGGCTAAGAAAGGGCAGGGAGGGAATCAAACTAAAAATGCCATTCCTAGTAGCTGGGAAAAGGCAAGCCCGTGGTAAGCTCCCTCAGAATTCACCTTGGTTTGGAGCAAGCTCCTCCTGGCTGCCCATCAATTTTCCAGTTCCAACTCTGGATTGGAGTCAACTTCAGGTTCCTCAATTTACCCAAGAATCCTATTAAGCTGACCCTTAAAGTGACATCTACTTAAAGCTCATAGATCTTTTCTTTTGAGACATCATTTAGCCAAGAATTACCTTGAACTTCTAATTCCCGTCTCTGCCGCCCCAGTGCTGGGATTCCAGGCCTGCATCATTATGCCTGGTTTGGACAGTCTTGGGCATCAAATAAAGGACTTCTGGCATGCTAGGTAAGCACTCTACAAACTCAGCTACATCCCGACTCCATGCATATATGTTGGAATACTTGGTCCCCCAGCTGGCAGAACTGTTTAGGAAGGGTTAGAAGGTGTGGCTTTGTTGGAGAAGGTCTGTCACTGGGGGCAGGCTTTGAGATTTCAAAAGACTCACACCATTCCCGGTGTGCTCTCTCTCCACTTCCTGTTTGTGGGTTGGGAAATGAACTGAGTTGCTGCTCCAGTGCCAACATGCCTGCTGATTGCTGTCATGCCAACTTTCATGATGGACTCTAGCCCTCTGAAACCTTAAGCCCAGTTAATTGCTTTCTTTTTATGTATTGCTTTGGTCATGGTGTTTTGTTTCTGGAACTGAAAGGTAACTAATATGGTGTATATATGCACACAGACATGAACTTGCACTAAACAAGCATCTATAACTAGGACAACAGTTCTGACATGAGGGCATACAATATAACAAACCCTCACTTCAGCACAGTACGACCAGAGCAGTCCCAGGAAACAACACATGCAGAATGGATGAGTAAACCATAATCCAAGCAGCCGGGAGGTGGAGGAAGGAGAATCTCAAGTTTAAGGCCAGCCTCACCTACATAGTGAGTTAAAGGCCAGCACAGGCTACTTGACACCCTGTCTCAACAAAACTCCAAATAGGCGGGATGTGATGGTATATGCTTTTAATGCCAGCACTGGGGAAGTAGAGGCAGGCTGGCCAGGGATACACAGCGACAGTCTGTCTAAAAGAGGGTGTGGCTCATTGGTAGAGTAATTTCCTAGCATGTATGATATCCTAGCTTTAATCCTCAGGAACATTCAATAATAATAATAATAATAATTAATAATAAATTATTAAACACAGTCAAAGTATACAGTGTATACTCTACAGTGAAAATAATATGAATTGCTATACTCCTAATGACAGAGATGACTTGACACATAATCATGATAGTGTGTTGGGGGGACAGATCCTAAGAAATATATTGTCTTGATAATGTAGTCATATTGAGGTGTGAGAATTCTGTGATCTTTTAGTGATGTGTTGGATATACTTACTATATATATACTTAAGCAGAGCATTTTTTTCTTTTTGTTTTTTTTTCTTTTTCAGAGCTGAGGACCAAACCCAGGGCCTTGCGCTTGCTAGGCAAGCACTCTACCACTGATAGGAAAAACTAATAATCAAATTAACTCAGTGGCTTAATGTTAAACAGTGATTGCTTGCTGGTCACGGTGGTACATATCTAGTATGCAGTACTTGAAAAGCAGAAGCAGGAGCAGAAGAATCTTGAGTTTGAGGCCAGCTTTGGCTACACAGTGAGACCCTATTTCTTTCTCCAAAAGAAACAAACAAATAAATATATTGCTACTAAAACACATACATACCCACTGTTTAAGTATAAAAATGTTTCAACACAGTTTGCAGTGGTTTTGTCTTTGTTCTTTTAAGAACTATTAATGTCATAAAGAATGGAAAAGCAGTCTATTAAAAAAAAAAGTTTGAGCCTGATGTGGTGATGCACATCTTTAATTTCAACACCCGGGAAGCAGAGACAGGTGGATCTCTGTGGGTTCGAGGCCAGCCTGGTCTACAGAGTGAGTTCTAGGACAGCCAGGGCAATACAGAGAAACCCTGTCTTGAAACACCACACATACACACAAAAGTGACAGCTGCTGGGTTCAGAATTACTGTGATAAGAATCTATGGATCTGATGAGAGTCACCAGATAGCTCCCCAGCATACAAAGACATGCTCTAAATGATGGTTTAAAAGACAAACAGCTGGGCGGTGGTGGCACTCGCATTTAATTCCAGAACTCAGGAGGCAGAGGCAGACTGATCTGATTTCAAAACCAGCCTGGTGCAGGACAGCCAGGGCTACACAAATAAACCCTGTCTCAAAACAAAACAAAACAAAAACCAATAATAATAATAGTAATAACTTAAAAATAGAATTAAATTAAAAAGAAACAAGCAAACAAACTAGGAGGAGTTAAGCCAAAAGGAATTCGATATTGGATTCTGTTGAAGGATATTTGATCACATTTTGACACTCCGAAACTGTCAAATAAAGTTTACTTTGAATCAGCGGGCAGAGCCAGCAACTAGCTGACTGGAATTAGCCAGAGAGAAGCCAGCCATTTGGATAGAGAAAGCGCACAGGAAGGAAAGAACAGGGAGTTGAGTGTGGTGCTTTCTTTTGGTTTTGGGAGGAGTGAAGAGACATGTCTCTTGCTAGGTCTCCAGCCAAAAAGCAAGGTTGCTGGTTGCTTCTCGGCCTCTCTGATCTAGCAGGTTTTCACCCTCACATCTGACTTCTGGGTCTTTGTTAGTAAATAGAACAATAGAGACTTAGTTTAAACCTACACATTGTAGCCGCAGCAGAGCGGGAGCCCTGGGACCGAAAGGCCCTCCAGGCCATGGCCTGAGTGGCCAGCAGAGTGCTGACTGCAGGGCCATTGGGCCACAGATGATAATTAAAATATCAATTCATGTGTAGCCACTAAGCCAACAACAACAACAAAAAAAAATCAAAATTCTTTAAAATTTTTTTATTTATTTGTGCTTGTGTGTACGTGTGTGTGTGTGTGTGTGTATGTGTGTGTGTCTGTCTGTCTGTCTGTGTTTATGTCTGTATATGCCACATGAGGAAATATGCTCAGAGGGGCCCAAAAGGGTGTTGGATCCCCTGGAGCTGGAGTTACAAGCAGTTGTGAGCTGCCTGGTGTGGGTGCTGAGAATAGGACTCAGGTACTTTGCAAGAAGAACAATCAGGTGTAATAGCATGGGCACATGCCACTAATCCCAGCACTTGGAAGGTAGAGGTGGCCGAGCTTGGTCTACACAGCAAGTTCCAGGACAGCCAGGACTACATAGAAACCTGTCTTGAAAAAACAAAAGCAGCAGCAACAACAAAAGACTATAATGTAATAATAGAGGGGCTCAGTGGTTTAGCTGCTCTGGCAGAGGACCCAGGTTTGATTTCCAGCACCTACACGCTGGCTGAGAGCTATCCTTAACTCTAGTTCCAGGGGACCCAATGCCCTCTTCTGACCTTGGAGGGCACTGCATACATATGGTACATATACATGCAAGCAGTCAAAGTACTCACACACCTAAAATAGAATAAAAAACCTTGAAACTTGTTTTTTAAAAGATTATATTACAATCTGACTGCTGTTTAGGTTACACTACCTGCAGCACCGCTTCCCCCATCATGGATACTGACAGGTACCTGCTGAGACACTATCTGTCAGTCTCTAGCTGTCACATTTCCAGGTCCAGTTTCTGATCTGGGAAAGTGAATTTACATGAAAGGAAGTATTTGTGGCCACACAGCCTGCTCCCTACTACCTTCCCTGGCAACAGGCTTGCACTGTGAAACCACTCCTGTGTTCAGAGAGCTAGAAGAAGAGACCCATCTTCAGCCACGTGGGCTTGATTCTTATCGGCAGACACCCTACCATATTGTCTGTCTCCGGTGCTGGGGGTTCAACTCTCCTTGGAGCCCCAAGTATGTTGCTGTCTGCCTGTTTGGGGCGTTAGTAACTCTTCTAATAAACTTATCTTCCAACAAACCATCTCTTCAGTTTCCTCCTGCATCCGCATCTGAGACCTTTCAGCTGCACTTGGTCCCATCTCTAGATGCTAAGATTATGTGTGTTTGTGGTTTTAAACTGCTAATAGGCCTGAGGACAATGTGTTATGTCTCAGCAGATAAGCAACAGGGTTGAAATTATTATATTGCAACAAATACCTAAAATGTGGACAGTATCACCATGGAGAAGCAGGTGGGAGCCAGGACTTTAAAGAGCCTACCTATGAGCATTTTAAAGGATGGGAGGGATAACATGGAGGCAGGGAGAGCTTTTCCAGAGGACCCCGTTCAATTCTCAGTACTCACATCAGGGGGTTCACAACCACCTGTAACTCCAGCTCTAGAGGATCCAATACCCTCTTCTGGACTCTGCAGGTACTTCTCCTCACATGTGTGCCTGCATGTGCATGTGCGCACACATACACACACCATTAAAAATAAATATATCTTTAAAACAACAAAAAAACCTCTCACACATGTCCTTGAATCTTTTAAAAATTTATTTATCTACCATCCCAACCACATTTTCTCCTCCCTCCTCTCCTTCCATTCCCTCCCCTCACCTCCCTCCCCAACACACCCCCAACCCACTCTTCTGTTTCTGTTCAGAAAGGGGCAGGCCTCCCATGGTATCAACAAAGCAAGGCATATCAAGGTGCAGTAAGACTAAGCACCTCCCCTTGTATTTAGGCTGGGCAAGGTGATCCAGTATGAGGACTAGGTTCCTAAGAGCCAGCCAAGGCATTAGGGACAGCCTCTGCTCCCATTGTTAGGAGTCCCACCAACAGACCAAGCTGTACAACTGTCACATATATGT